CAACCACCAACTCCCCTCGAAGTGCTTCTAGAGTCTGAGGAGGACGTTGCAAAATTGAGCAATCTCCTACCCATCATATCCCACACGTGCTCAATTGGGGATAAGTCGGGAGATCTTGGTGGCCATGGTAACAATGTGACATCATTATGTTGAAAGAAGTCTATTGTGACTCTTGCAACATGTGGTCGGGCATTATCTTGTTGGAAAGTTGGATCTGCCAGGGTGTCAAGATAGGGTAAAAGATGGGGTTCTAGAACTTCGTGGATATAACGCTGCGCGTTCATGTTACCTCTGATGAAGATTAAAGGTGACCTGGAACCATAAGCTATAGCACCCCAAACCATAACTCCAACAGTGTGATGAACATGTCTTTCAACAAAAACTGTGGATTCCTCCTTTCTCCACGTCGCCTTCTAACCCTGGCACGACCATCGTGCATGCCTAAACAAAATCGAGACTCGTCACTAAAGGCAATACTGTTCCATTCCTGATCCCAGAGTGACCGTTGTCTGCACCACTCAAGGCGATTACGTCGGTGTTCTCGAGTTAAAGGGAGGACCCAGTGTGGCCGGTATGAAAACAAGCCAAAACTTCTCATTCGTGCAAACCATTCATTTGCAATGGACCTGGTAGTGGAGAAACGGTCCTTAAGGCCAATAATCTTAGGCGGCGATCTTCACGGCGGCGTCCAGTGCCCCTTGCTCTTTGCGTACGGCCTTCTCGAAGCCATGCCTGACAACACCTGACCACAGTGTCTACACTTCTTTGCACTCTAACTGCAATTGCCCGAAAAGAAAGTCCAGCTTCCCGAAGTCCCACTATACGGCCCCTATCAAACTCACTAAGTTGACGAAATCGTACAGGTCTCCGTACTCTAGGCATCGTAACCGATCGTATAAGATGTCAAGAACCAAAATCCGCCAACGTTGATTCTTTACTGCGGCTGAAATATTCATTTTTAGAGCGTTAGTGAATTAAAAAAAAGCAGTATAAAAACCGGAATGTGCAAATGATAAGGCTGAAAATTTTTTCACTTGTTATTTACAGTAAGATAAATACATTCACCAACTTTAATTAAAATAAAACCATTTAAACTGGGTGTTCGGATTTATTTGTCACTTAGTATACATACAACAACAATCGTGTTCTTAATGAAATCTGGATATATTATAGAAACGGGGACATTTAAAACGTACATGTATATAAAGGTTTTTAAAATAAACAAAAAAAAATTAAACCTAAAAATGAATAATAGTTTAAAAAAACTAAAAAACACGCTTTATAGCTAACCAAACTGAAAAGAAGAAAATAATTGTTAATTACAAAGAGTTTATATTACAGTAGTAGATGGTCGAACAATATGTGTTTTAGAATATTGATTGTAAAAAAGTCAACGCATTAATTTAAAAAACCATTTAAAAAAATAATATCCATGCATACCTGTCAAAGGGATCCCCTTGTGACGAGCTGCTATAAACCAGTCATAACGCAATCTGTTAATTTTGGTACCACCGTCAAAAAGCTTCTTTTTTCATTCAAATTGCTGTTCGACATCCATTTCTTTAGAAGGATTTCTTTATGTTATTATGGAATACTGAAACGCTGCTATCTCAATTTTTTAGGCATCAGAATTTTTCTATTTGGAGCCATGTCTACAATGAACGTGTCGCCTACTGTGTTATTTCCGCATAGACATACTGAATGGAAATTTAATTGAGAGCATATACCCAAAGAGTAAGAACGGCAAATGCAGGACTAACTCGGGGAAGTCCCTCATTCACACCTGACAGAAATGCAGCACATAGGCTGGATTTGTACCGAAGTCGGTAAATCCCCGGTTTACTCTAGAAAGTCACAGCGATAATGACGCGCGGCATGATCGTGAAATGCAATAGCGATACTCTCAACAGAAAAAGAATAAGACAAAGCTCCTTTTATTTTTGCTTTTTAAAGTCTATATAAACATGGTGGATTACCGTCATCACCTTAACACCGAAAAAGGAAACCTAAGCTCTTCCGTCTTCATAATTAAATATTAAATTAAAATGTCAGGTACAAGGTTTCAAGTTCAGGGGCAAAACAATATTCACTTCTTATAAACAAGAATGGAAAAAGGAGTTTCCAGCAGAGTTGCTAATAATTTTGAAGAGCAACTAGCATGCTGATTGCACAAGTTTTAATAAATGAGTTGATATTGTTTTAAGAAAAGATGCTCTCAAAAAACCTGTGTAGTGTGGTTTTGTGGCGCGTGATTTACTGCTGATTTTCCTCCTACCGATTTTGTCCTTGAATGTACCGAATTCCAATGACTCTATTCCACCGATTTCGTATTTTTCGGTTCGGCAACAGTGGGCGCCAGTTTGTGTTGCGACGCGCTGTTTACCGCTCTCACGCCGATCAATAAAAATGATAATTTTATTGATAAATGTGGAAATTATTACTGATTTGTCAATAGCATAACTTGTTGAGAAAGCAATTACGGTATGGATGAAATTCAATTCATTGTGATCAAGAGTTGATTCGAGCGAGGTTATGCACTAGGTTATCCCTGGGTCAGATATTTTTTACGACCAAAAAAGATGCGCTTAAAATCGTTTGGTCGAACACGTACCGTCATACGTCATTGCTGTCTATTCTTTTGAGCTTATAAGTTTGCAGGTACCTGTTTTTGTTGTTGAAATGTCCTTATTATCAAAAGAAATGATTGGAGACGTTTGGCCTACCACAATACGGGCCTCCATCAAAAAGATATTTTCGTCGTAGACCATGATGGAGAATAGTAATGCAAGAACATTCATTTAGTCTAAAAATGAAGCATTGGCATTGGCTTTAAACAATATGTACTCGATATCCACAAAAATACATCAGAGGGTTCCAAAATTTACAATTTTGGGTGAAAACGCATGTAAAAACTAAAAACACTACTACAGAGAACTTAGTTTGCTTGGGTTTTAGGTAATGACAACTGACAAGTCTCATGTGGAGGGATTAAAATACCAGCGGCCATTTGAACGTTGATAAGTGACATATAAATACGAACACCCAGTTTAAAATGGTTTTATTTAATAAAAGTTGGTGAATGTATTTATCTTACTGTAAATAACAAGTAAAAAAATGTTCAGCCTTGTCAGTTGGACATTCCGGTTTTTATACTGCTTTTTTTAATTCACTAACGCTCTAAAATGAAATATTTCAAGCCGCAGTAAAGAATCAACGTTGGCGGATTTGGTTCTTGACATCCTTACGATCGGTACGATGCCTAGAGTACGGAGACCTGTACGATTTCGTCAACTTAGTGAGTTTGATAGGGGCCGTATAGTGGGACGTCAGGAAGCTGGACCTTCTTTTCGGGCAATTGCAGTTAGAGTGTAAAGAAGTGTAGACACTGTGCTTAGGTGTTGTCAGGCATGGCTTCGAGAAGGCCGTACGCAAAGAGCAAGGGGCACTGGACGCCGCCGTAGAACAACAGACCGTGGAGATCGCCGCCTAAGATTATTGGCCTTAAGGGACCGTTTTCTCCACTATCAGGTCCATTGCAAATGAATGGTTTGCAGAACACGGAAGACCTATTGGCATGCGAAGTGTTTACCGACGAATGAGAAGTTTTGACTTGTTTTCATACCGGCCATACTGGATCCTCCCTTTAACTCGAGAACACCGACGTAATCGCCTTGAGTGGTGCAGACAACGGTCACTCTGGGATCAGGAATGGAACAGTATTGTCTTTAGTGACGAGTCTCGATTTTGTTTAGGCATGCACGATGGTCGTGCCAGGGTTAGAAGGCGACGTGGTGAAAGGAGGAATCCACAGTTTTTTGTTGAAAGACATGTTCATCACATTGTTGGAGTTATGGTTTGGGGTGCTATAGCTTATGGTTCCAGGTCATCTTTAACCTTCATCAGAGGTAACATGAACGCGCAGCGTTATATCCACGAAGTTCTAGAACCCATCTTTTACCCTATCTTGAAACCCTGGCAGATCCAACTTTCCAACAAGATAATGCCCGACCACATGTTGCAAGAGTCACAATAGACTTCTTTCAACATAACGATGTCACATTGTTACCATGGCCACCAAGATCTCCCGACTTATCCCCAATTGAGCACGTGTGGGATATGATGGGTAGGAGATTGCTCAATTTGCAACGTCCTCCTCAGACTCTAGAAGCACTTCGAGAGTAGTTGGTGGTTGCCTTGGAATGAGATACCACAGGAGGACATTGACCACCTGATCAGAAGCATGCCTAGGCGCGTTGGAGAATGCGTAGCACATCAGGGTGCATCCACACATTATTAAAGGTCAAAGGGCTTTAAAGCAGTGCAATCATTTGAAATTTTTATCATTTACTTATTATGCTTCATTAAGTACTTATACAAAATTTTATTAAAATAAAACCATTTAAACTGGGTGTTCGGATTTATATGTCACTTAGTATATTATGTTAAGAGTTTGTGTATTATGACAATAGCTCAGCGGTTATTTAAAGTTTGCGAAATCGTGAAAATTGTGTGTTCAACAAGAGATTGCGGACTAGGTATTTTATCGATTTATTTATAAACTATGCGATTGTTCCACAAATAAAATGCATAAAATGCATGACGAGTTTCGCAATATTTTTGTAGTATCATCATACTGTTTACTGCTCTTAGGCTCTTTCCACGATACATAAACAACATTAAGCTAAATATATATTCTTGAATTATGGATGCGAATTCTGGCGAATTTTTGTTTTGACTTTTGTCAGAACAAGGTGGTTACACTCTTTGTGTTTTCTTACACTTCTTCCGTCCATTAGTGTTGTTAAATGATAGAAAAGCAGAACACGTCAACCTATAAAAACGTAAGGGATTTGCAGCAACATACGATGTCAACGCACCATGTGTGGTGACTGAAACGATTGTTTTCTGATATCTTGACTGATAAATGTGCGCTAAGTAATCAACAAACTATTTCCTTAATCAGATCGTGCCGGTTAGATATTATTAATATTGTATCTGGCCTCGTTGGGACACTTATCTTTATTGGTTCAGTTTGCTTGATTATTTATACAAGAAAGCGCCTGTGTCATGCATTACTTTTTCTAAATTGGCTAATAATTAAAAATGCTTCATTTGTGTACGCGTGGCTGATATTGTTCGGTTTAATTCAGTTGTGCATTAGTTACACCGCAGCAATGTACCGCTACTTCTTCTGCTAGCTAAAGTTACGGCAATATTAAGAAAAGGTAACCCATCTCAAATCAATAACTATAGAATCTTGTAATATTGCAAAGTTGTTTACATGTTCATTTTTACCACAAAGTGAGAAACTTTGTAGAACGATTAGCAAGGTCTCGTCGATTAAAAATCATGTATCATTAACCATGCTTGCTAACTATTTGCGAAACTTTATTTATATGGACGTGGAAAAAACATTTGATTAGATTTAGGCATCCTGTTAAAGAACGTTTCTTTGGTTCTTTGATGATCTTGTATCTCTTCAGTAGGAGTCAAGACGTTGAATATGAAGGATACTATTCACCGCTTGAAAGGTCTACTTCAGGAATTCTCCAAGGCTCAAATATGGGCCCTGTACTCTTTTTGTCATATACTAAGTGACATATAAATCCGAACACCCAGTTTAAATGGTTTTCTTTTAATAAAAGTTGGTGAATGTATTTATCTTACTGTAAATAACAAGTGAAAAACTTTTCAGCCTTATCAGTTGGACAATCCGGTTTTTATACTGCTTTTTTTTAATTCACTAACGCTCTAAAAATGAATATTTCAACCGCAGTAAAGAATCAACGTTGGCGGATTTTGGTTCTTGACATCCTTTACGATCAGTTACGATGCCTAGAGTACGGAGACCTGTACGATTTCGTCAACTTAGTGAGTTTGATAGGGGCCGTATAGTGGGACTTCGGGAAGCTGGACTTTCTTTTCGGGCAATTGCAGTTAGAGTGCAAAGAAGTGTAGACACTGTGGTTAGGTGTTGTCAGGCATGGCTTCGAGAAGGCCGTACGCAAAGAGCAAGGGGCACTGGACGCCGCCGTAGAACAACAGACCGTGAAGATCGCCGCCTAAGATTATTGGCCTAAAGGGACCGTTTCTGCACTACCAGGTCCATTGCAAATGAATGGTTTGCATAACACGGAAGACCTATTGGCATGCGAAGTGTTTACCGACGAATGAGAAGTTTTGGCTTGTTTTCATACCGGCCACACTGGGTCCTCCCTTTAACTCGAGAACACCGACGTAATCGCCTTGAGTGGTGCAGACAACTGTCACTCTGGGATCAGGAATGGAACAGTATTGTCTTTAGTGACGAGTCTCGATTTTGTTTAGGTATGCACGATGGTCGTGCCAGGGTTAGAAGGCGACGTGGTGAAAGGAGGAATCCACAGTTTTTGTTGAAAGACATGTTCATCACACTGTTGGAGTTATGGTTTCGGGTGCTATAGCTTATGGTTCCAGGTCACCTTTAATCTTCATCAGAGGCAACATGAATGCGCAGCGTTATATCCACGAAGTTCTATAACCCCATCTTTCACCCTATCTTGACACCCTGGCAGATCCAACTTTCCAACAAGGTAATGCCCGACCACATGTTGCAAGAGTCACAATAGACTTCTTTCAACATAATGATGTCACATTGTTACCATGGCCATCAAGATCTCCCGACTTATCCCCAATTGAGCACGTGTGGGATATGATGGGTATGAGATTGCTCAATTTGCAACGTCCTCCTCAGACTCTAGAAGCACTTCGAGAGGAGTTGGTGGTTGCCTGGAATGAGATACCACAGGAGGACATTGACCACCTGATCAGAAGCATGCCTAGGCGCGTTGGAGAATGCGTAGCACATCAGGGTGCATCCACACATTATTAAAGGTCAAAGAGCTTTAAAGCAGTGCAATCATTTTGAAATTTTTATCATTTACTTATTATGCTTCATTAAGTACTTATACAAAATTTTATTAAAATAAAACCATTTAAACTGGGTGTTCGGATTTATATGTCACTTAGTATATATAAACGATCTAACTCTTAACTTGCATTGTTCAAAATTACTGTATGCAGACGACTTGAAAATATATCAGTCAGCTGTAAAGTGCGAATATCAATAATGCCATTTAAAAATTGCCAATAGATGGCCAACTTTTTCGACAAATTGACACAGTGATCGTAATTAATCGGACTTTTATGTGAGTTTTTCGCCACCCAAAGGAAAAATAATACTGGATGAGATAAAATGCTTAATTCTGAGGGTTTTGGAATAAACCTGGCCCAAAAAAGTTGGTATCTATAGAAATGGCAATTAACTGAATACAATAACCCAGTTTTTAAAAAAAAATCAATGCTGAAAATCTCGAAAACTGTAAGACTTTTAATAAAACAAAATTTTACCATCTAGTAGGTCATGACGTGTCCTATCTACATTTTCAGGATTATTGTATGCAAATATATGATTTTCGCAATTACATAGGAAACCTGAATGCAACCTGCAGGGTCTTTAAATTTCGTTTAAATGATATCTGTTTCGTTTATTTACAGGTTAAAAGAGAAAAATGATCACACATCCGCATTTTGGTCCCTGGGACTACGTAATTCTGTCCATAGTTCTGCTCATATCTGCATCCATAGGAGTTTACTACAGGCTCACCGGTGGCAAGCAAAAAACAATGCAGGTACCTAGTTTGAATTTCTATTTTATATTTATATCGCTATCAAAAATTCGCACTTGACATAAAATGTGATGTTGTAGTTTCTGTTATATTTTTAAAAGTCGAAAATCTACAACTAAAACACCTGTGCTGGAATCTCCTGAAAATTCTCGGTTTCAAAAAACAACAGCATTGTTGGAAAATGGATTTTTAACAAAATTCTCCGAAGTATTGAACTGATTCTGATCAAAATCTTACTGGCCTCAAATATATATCGGCTCGTTTTAAGTTTCAGTCAATAGACATACCCAATCTAGGAAAAATAAATAATAATAATAATAATAGTCTTTGTGTAGAAATAAATTCTCCACTCTTACATTATTTAACCTATCAGCGTTTGTAAACACAATAAAGAAATTTGTTGCATTTTGAAAACAATTGAAAATGGTAGAATTATGTGGGAAGTTGTTAACGAATATTAATTGTATACATCACGTATTGATTTATAACTACGTAATAAGTTGTATTGTGTTGTGGAATTCTCATAACTTTATAGGTCTAAGGTATCTCTAAAGGCATTTTTTTCTCTAAGATACCGAAGTTTTGCCGTGAGCTGCAACGTATGCTTTGAAATTGAGTTACAATCTATCCACTTTAGTATTTGGTAAATTCGGTGTCCAAAACCGATCTATCTGGAAGTATTTGCAACATGTGGCGGCGAATAATACACCTTTGCATATTAGGCATTATTTTCCGACGATGCACATTTTGCAGCGGATGCGGTTTAAGGTATCTATCGATCTATATGGCGCCTAAGTCTCGCGTGTATGGCGCTACAGGGTGATCACTCGCGGCAATATGTAAATTGGTATTCGTCGAACACTTTTGTAATGTATCTAAATCTTGGAATCCTTGACAACACTTTTATGGGAATGAATTGAAGTTGACTGGAAGCTATTTTCCTATCAGGCGCCTTAGTGGTCTACATGGTTAATTAGGATATGTTTTTATAAACAGGAATACCTGCTAGCCGACAAAAATATGCCGATAGGGCCGGTAGCCTTTTCACTTATGGCCTCTTTCATGTCAGCCATCACACTGCTGGGCGTATCCAGTGAAAATTACACGTACGGCTTGCAGTTCATCGTAATCAACATTTCCTACGTCCTTGCCACCCCGATTGCGGCGTATTTATTCCTACCTGTGTTCTTCAAACTACAAGCAACAAGCGCTTATGAGGTAGGTGTACTAATACATTCAAAATAGTTTCTGAATTTAGTACTAGGCTGCAACAGAAATGTTCCAACTAGAAAAAATAATTTTTCAACTTGTTTCATCGGCAACATAATGACTATATGTAAAGCATTCTACAGGGTGTCCGCAAAGTTGGGGTTTTCCTTTACACGACGTGTAGATCTTGAAAACATAAGCAATTTTTCTTAGTACCATATACACCAATGTCTTAAGGGAACCGAGATAAAGGGCTCTGCAACATCAAAAATATCTGAATACCGTCCTGTAGCCGCGACCCGCCGCGATATCCCAGACTGGTACCGGCTACTAGCTGAACCTGACGACAGAACTGGGTCGGGGTCAGTGTGTCAGGTCAGTATGCAACCTTCAACCGACGGTTACGGTCACGCGTGTAGAGGTAATCGCGTAGACGAGAATCCCTCAACAAGCACTAGAGACGTGCAAGTATCAAAAACTAAAGTGTGGCAAACGCTGCGTTTCACGTCCAACGTGTACAAGCCCTTCAACCTGACGATTTTCCAGCAAGAGTGCGGTTTTGTGAGTGGTTGTTGCATCAACATGATAATAATCCGGACTTTTTGAAGTGCATATTGGTGACATACGAATCTACGTTCACGCGTAATGGGGTGAATAACTTTCGCAACACTCATGTTTGGTCAGTAGAAAATCCGCACGCTGTCCATCGGGCACATTTTCAACAAACATTTTCGGTGAATGTTTGGGCTGGCATGGTGAACGGTATGCTCATTGGACCATTTATTCTCCAAAATCGATTGGACGGGATGCAATACCTAGACTTTTTACGCAACATTTTGCCTTCCTTGTTAGAAGATGTGCCATTAAGTGTAAGACAATCAATGTGGTGTCTGCATCTGCTCGGTAGCGCATCGGCTGATTTCATTTTCTGTTGGAGCGGTATGATTTCGGGCAGAGATGTACTTAGCCCTTCTCGTCAACTGGAGAGTGAGTACTTTTTCCTTTATTTTTTTTTACTTGGTCGCCCTCGTTTCACTACACATTACCTTTGTTATTTCAAGGGTAATTAAAAGGAAAACCCCAACTTTGCGGACACCCTGTATAGCAAGAATGTCAACGTTTTATCTTTTTACCTTTGCGAAAATGTTATCTCTTTCGTCCAAATTATCGCCATATTAACGACTTTGACAGGCGAGAATTATTGGTTATAGAGATGTTGGTTTGTCCTATCGCGAAATTGGCCGCCGTGTTAATTGTACCGCGTTGACGGTAATGCGTGTGTGTCGTGTGTGGATAGAAGAAGATAGAGCAATACGAGGAAGGCCAACTGGTCCACCGAGGCCTACCACAGAGCGTCAAGATCGGCGCTTCAGATAAATATAACGCCAGCTGTGGGGTCGCCCAAAAGATTATTAATTTTTTTTCTTGAGGATGTTATCGTTTCATTCTTGATGTAAGACTATCTCATTGCCAAAATATCAAGTTGGAGAAATTATTTTTTCTGGGTTTAACCCTTCTAATGTATATTTAGATTAATTACCTTCTGGCTTTCTGATCTCCTTATCATAGAGAATTCTGATAGCTAACCTCTAGTGCAGATCGTTTCCGAAAATATTTCATTGTGTTTTAGTTAAAAAAAAGGATTCTTGTTTCAACTGAAATACACGCTCTGCATTTAGAATCAAAAAACAATCGGAACTTATTCGACGAAGTCTCTGACATTTGAGGATTCATTACGTCTTGATATACAATAATAATATAATAATAATAAATACTATATAATGTAATGAAACTAACGCCAACTACAGAGAATACCGACTGTTATAACCAATATAAAAATAAATTTATAGAGCTTGCAAGGCAAACCAAACGAAAACATTACCTAAATAAATTGAATAATAACTTAAACGATCCTAAGCGGCTTTGGACAACTATTGATGAGATTACTGGGAAAACAAAATTTAAAGAGTGTGTCACTGAGTTAAATACAACATCGGGAACAGTATTAAAAAATACTCAACAGATATGCGATGAATTTGTACAATTCTTTACTGACATAGGCGAAAATTTAGCAAGTAATATACAAGCAAATGTACAAAATACTCAGCCTCCAAAAAGAACTTTGAACTCATTATTTTGGATAAAATCGAACAATGTGAAGTATACACCACTGTTATGTCCTTAAAAAATCGGAAAATTCCTGGGTTCGATGGTATTAAAAACGAGCATTTGAAAATTATAGCCGAGGACATAACAGAACCACTCACTTACCTAATCAACAAATGCTTTGAATCTGGCATATATCCCTCAATTTTAAAAAAGGTAATATAATACCGATACATAAATCAGGAACAAAAACAGATGTTAACAACTATAGACCAATATCAATAATATCCAGTGTAGCAAAGGTTTTTGAAAAAGTTTTATCTACTAGAATGATTCGATACCTCACAAAATTCAAAATTTTAAGTGAAAATCAATATGGATTTACAGAAGGGAAGGCTACATCGGACGCAATAACTAAAATTGTAAATCAAATATATCAAAATATTGATAACAGAATCCCTTCAATCTGCATTTTTGTTGATTTAAAGAAAGCTTTCGATACAGTTAATCACAAATTATTATTAGAAGCATTGGAGAGAACTGGTTTCAGAGGAAACGCGTACTCACTGATCGAAAGTTATTTGTCAAATCGCCCACAATCTGTGCAGATATTAGGATCATTCAGTAAACAAATGTATATTAAGTGTGGTGTCCCACAAGGAACTGTCTTAGGTCCGCTGTTATTCAATATATATTTAAATGATATTTTCCAAATTAATTGTGTTGGCAAAATAACTAGTTTTGCAGATGATACTGCAATATTATATGAAGGCACTGACTGGTCTGATCTGAAAAATGTAATTGAAAATGATTTTATCAAAATTATTCGGTGGTTTAACAGTAGAAAATTACGCATTAACTACTCTAAAACACATTTTTTACCATTTGGATCTTATGCTAGACATCTGCCAAATTACACAAATTTCTCCTTCAATATTAATGATCAAAAAATGCAAATTAATAGAGTGCCCAACATAAAATACCTTGGAGTGGTCTTGGATCCTCACTTACGATGGGACATCCATGTCAATTATATTTTAAAGAAAGTTAGATTTGTATCCTACAAAATTAAATACCTTGGGAATATATTGACAGAAAAATATCTTCGAACATTATACCATGCACTGATTGAGCCTCATCTCACATATGGTATATTAGCATGGGGAGCTGCATGTTCCTCACATATCTATAATTTAGATGTTTTTCAAAAAAGTATTCTAAAAATGATATTTAAAAAACCGAAACTTTATCCCACTGAAAAATTATACGCAGATGTTCGAATGTATGATATAAGACAGCTTTAATTCTTACACAGTATCACTCACTACCATAAATTTGTAAACACCGACCAAAAAATTAAACATAATCATTATACCAGGTACAAAATTCGTGGCACAGTAGTTCCTCAACCGCATAAATCTATAATGCAGCGATCATATCTCTATTTAGCGCCTAAATTTTATGAAATTATACCTAAAAACTTAAAAGATTTACGTTTCGGAAATTGTTTCAAAAGAAATTTAAAAAAGTGGCTACATTCTATATCTAGGACTGAAATTCATAAACTCATAAATACGAACATCAACTAAATACATAATCTACTGTAGCTAATTTTTGTCCTTTTTTGTCATTTGCATTCTACAGTTTCAACTTAAATTATTGGTCCATGTACAGGCGATGCCTTCTATTGTTCCTGTTTTGATTTTATATTTATTTACTCATATTGTTTGTTATCTTTGTACATTGAGTAAATAAATATTATTATTATTATTAATGTCATAGCAGACTTAGTTACTTATTTGTCCCGAAGTCTGAAAATGGACTAGGCTGGGTATCTTGTACGCAATTTTTATGAAAATTTCAGTACTTAGAAAGAAGATTTGGTAAAACTTCCAGATTGGCAGCATCTCTGTCCTATACTCTACAAATGACCCTGTACATGGGGGTAGTTTTGTATGCTCCATCTCTAGCACTTGAGGCTCTTACTGGAATCAGTCAACTTGCTGCTATCTTGTCTGTTGGTGAGTAATTTGTGAGAAGTAAATTTAAATCTATGTTTCTGATTTTCATCGAATTTTGCATATAGTCAACGCCAAACAAAGTGGCGTGCACGTCATCAAGGTGGGTGTGTTGAAAAATTTACATTGTTGCCAAACTTTTTGTAAAATAATAAAATTTATTATTTACATATCTAGGTTTATAAACAATATTAACCTCAAATGAGAACAAACATAATAGTATAATAAAATTATAGATCTGTACTTGCATAATCATTAAGTATGACAATTATTGATCAGATGACACTATGAAACTACCATATTTAATTGATAGCTTAAAGGTACTGAATAAAAATCCAAATGGGGTCCTCCAAATTTTATGCATGGTATTTATTTTACAGAATTCATACAGAAAAATGCATTCTAAAATTAGGTAAGCTACTGGTGTAAGCTTTTTCTGTACAATAAAGTTAGTCGGAGTTTCTTTCTTCAGCGCTGTCTGAATCTGAATCTTCATCACTCTCAAAGTTGATTATTAAAGGTTCGATGTCTGGTCGATCAAAAATTCGTTCTCTTTCATACCATTTAAAAATGTCTTGCTCAGTATGTCGAACACTATTTTTCCACATGTCTGGGGTAACCGTTTGTAGAGCCTCGTTCCACATATCCAAACAGTCTTTTTCACTGTTACCATCTCTACCAATATGTCTGTTATAGTAACCTTTTGCTATGCCCCAAATTAACTCAATAGGGTTAAATATACAATGGTAAGGAGGCAGACGAAGAACTTTCTGCCCATGTTGTTCCGCCAATTCATCAATCACGTATATTTTAGGTGGTTTGTTTCTAAAAAAGCAGTTATTTTAAGAATAGGAATAAACAAAAGAAATATAAACTGTCGACCAAAATATATATAATTAAGAAGCATTATGTACCGAGCAACAATACTCAATAGCTCTGTTTTAAACATTGTGTTTAAAAATGGTATGTTTTGATTTGTCAACCAGTCTTGGATATTTTTTTGTCCATGCATTGTTGGGCACTTTGTTCAATATCATGCTGTGA